AACAGGCAGGGGCAGGCTATTATACAAGACGTAGCTCCCAGAGCTACAACAGGATCTAGAACTGAAGTTCAGATAAACAGGTCGGAGATCACGTGCCGTGATCTTCCTCTTACTAAGCATCACGGTTCGCACCGTGACATAAAGAGAGTGGAGAGATAAAGAAAGTGGAGAGATAAAGAAGTAAGGTAGTAAAAGGTACACTATAGAAAAAGAAGGGGATACTCTACGCCCGCTGGGACCATAGGAAACTATCTATATAGGGTAGATAGCTACTTTTATTACGTTTATTTTCTTCTGTCTTATTTAGACTACCCCGGCCGGATTATAGCCTTACTTTTTAGGTTATAGGACTCGTATAGTGTAGTTATATACTAGGGACACACTATATTTATCGTCGGGAGCGGGCTCTAGGACGCAATCCCTTTACAGCAGCACATATATAAAGCGAGCTAAATCGGGTCACTGAAATCATCATCATCAACCAAAGGTGTAACCAATGCCGAAAACAGGGTGTCGAAACCAAGGGTGTAACCTATAGCTGAAAATAGTGCAAAATACCCGAAACCATACGGAGCACCATGATGGTGTCGCATACACAGATTGTGTATAACGTTTAGTCAGCTTTATCCGCACAAATTGTTTAAAAGAGCGGATTTTGTCAATTCAGTTAGTTAGAGAACTCTGAGTATTTTTCATGCCATATCTATTGGTAGTTCCATACAGTGTTGAACTCATAGACATCTGTCCAATTATTCCTCCACAGGCAGTGCACCCTCGGATCGCATCTCTAGCGCCACCTCATCAACTTTTTTCCATACTCTCAGTAGATTACCTCCGGCCACCTTGCTTGCATCTTTGTCACTGACCCCTCGTTTCAGTAGCTCCTTGATCAGATTGGGGAACCTGGACACATCCTTCAATCCCCGAGGAACCGTCGGATTACCGTCAAAATCACTACCGATCCCAACATGCTCGAAGCCTACAAGATTACCGATGTACAGGATGTGATCAGCGACTCGTTCCAGAGTGGCGTGAACGGGGTCCAGGTCTGGGATCCCATTGGCACCGTTTGAAGCCGTGCAGGAAATGAAGTCTGGTCCAAAATTGACCATAACCAGGGAGTTCTTCTCGCGGACCAGCTCTAAGATGTCATCGGGTACGTTGCGTGGGTGGGGACAGAGTGCATATGCTGAGCTATGGCTGTAAATCACTGGAGCACGGCTTCCTATCCAATCAGACTTGCCGGCGCCCAGCACATCACGCATAGTCTCCGTGCTGACATGGGCTAAATCGACGATCATCCCAAGGCGATTCATCTCAAAAACTAGCTTCTGGCCTTCTTCGCTGACGCCATGCCAGAGAGGATCGGATTTTCTTAATCCACCGCCTGGAAGTTCGATGACGGCGGCGTCGGCATATCGATTATGGCAGTTATGTGTGAGAGTTGCGTAAGAAACTCCAAGGTCATAGAAGATACGGAGGAGAGCCAGTGAGTTGCCGATAGAATGCAAGCCCTCGATACCAAGCGGTGAGATAATCTTTCCCTCGCGGAAAGCGGACATGGCAGTAGTACCATCAAGGGGACTCGAGAAGACCTTGGGATATGCTTGTTGAACCCTTGACATGACATCAACCTGTTCCATCGTCATTCGCACGCCTATGGTTCCAACATGAGCATCCTACTGTACAACAGCCATCGTGTCAAGTTCCCTTACTTGCTGCGTAATTTTCGTTGGAGAAATCGGTCCCATTCTCGGGACAGGGCACGAAAACACTCCAAAATGTGCCACCAACTCTACCTTGTTTCAATCGAGGAATATCAACGTGGCCGGGAAATTTCCCCTTGACAAAAGCCTCAGTGAAGTTGCGATCATTTACACGGTTGTGGAAGAGTTCCCGGACCAAGATGGGAAAGTCATCATGACCGTCTGTTTTAGGCCATCAGTCTTAATTTTCCACATATAATAATTCTCTGCAATCTTCATACCGATCAATGGAGTCTGTGACAGGATCTTCTCCACCCTTTCCTCAATGCTCAGGGGGGCGAAAGGAGAGCACGAGCTTGTAAACCAGGCGCCCACTAGAATGATACAGAGAAACAGCCAGAGTTGATTAACGGGAAGCTTTTTTTGCCCAGAGGTTGGTCCATCCTCTTGGCTCTCCAAGATGAGGCTCTTCTTGTCGCTAATTTTGGGCATTTATGAAGTAGAGTGTCACGAGGTTGAAGAGAGTGTCGGAAGGAAAGATTTTTTAAGGGGGAATAGTCCTTCTCATCATCATGTATTGGAGTAGCAATTAGGACGGAGTTTAATGACCGCCTCCGGGAGGCGGTCAGTATTGCCGTCGGGCCAGGACTATATGTTCTTACCCCTCATGTTTTATTAGTTTCCCAAGAAGAAAAGAATCCATCCTAGGAGTTCAGTTAATCTCTTTCACCCATCAGTTTGCTTCAAGTCCTTTGGATTTTCCCTTCTGTCGGAAATCAGTAAAGTGGTCCATCTGGAAGGCATCAGGCAAGGATCTCTGGAGGGGAAGCTGACTCGCTGAGGGTGGGTCAGGTTTCGGCCTGACAGAGAGCAGAAACAGATGCTTATCGATAAGCGTGATTTAACCTCGGACGGTCGGGACCATTGAGTCTTCATTCTGACCAATAATCGTGCCAAGCGCCCCACTCAAGGATAATTCTCACTCAACGATAATTTTCGAGGTAATAAATCGATTTGGGCCGCCGCCGGAAACGGCAGCTCCCCAATCCCGGTTTAGCCCCCGCCCCCACGCGCCCTCAGACTGGTTTAGCGCCTCCAGATGAGGTTTAGCCTGCAAGCTAACCCTCAACGGGACCGCCCTGGTCCCTCACCGCCGGGCGACTTCGCCGCCCGACTGTATAAAGGCGCGGTGCGTCGCTCCATCGTCACCCTCTCTAATTGTCTCGCTCCCTTCTCCCAGCAAGCCCACCATGGATTTGATTGGGGCATTGGCCTTGGATGGATCACTTTTTATAGGCTGATTGCTAATGTTTTCCTAGCAGCACTGCCATCCGTCCCCACTCACACCATCCTTTCAGCAACGCTTTGTTCTCTCGGCCAAATGGCTACTCGCCCTGTTACTTACAAGGCTCTGTCGGAGTCCCTCAATATCTTGTCTAGAGGCATATAACCTGGCGTCGAAATGGACACTCCAGAATCGGATTGCATTTCATCGTTGAGTTTTCGAGCTCGTCTCAGACTCCTACCTGGCGGAACGATACCACCCAGACCCTGCAACGACGTTCAGCAGACGTTGTGCTTCTTGCATATGATCCAGCAAACCTGACCCACCGCACCTCGGGACGGCCTGGGCGACAATGCACAGCCCACGGAAATCCCTACTCATTGTGCCACTTGTCTGCCTGGTGTAGGTGGTGCGCGGTTTTTGCCATTGGACACAGATCGCAAATTACGTTTCCAACTCCCTGCGACAAACCTAATAGCTTCATATCGAATTATTTGGTGAGATGACGGACATGGGGAGGGTTACATTGCGTGAAAGCAGGAACACACGGGCCAAGCTGAATTGGAAGACAGCCCGCCAAAGGGGTCCCTATCTTACACGTGCCAGACACTCTCTGTGTGTGTGAACAGTGGAGATTTAAATCATTGTCGGAAGGAAGAGGGGAACGAGAGGCTTATTTCAGCTTATTTGCCCTCAGGTTCATTCATCTCTTGTTTCAAAGGTGTACTGATTTCATTCTTGAACTCTTCTGATTCAATCTGCAATACCAGCATGTCTGTGACTCTCGATAATATCCAATTTTATGACGGCCCTTCAAAGCCTTCCAAGCCACCGCATTCTACATTTAGCAGCAGGGGGTATTGTACTGGCGTATTTCCGTCTTCTGAGAGACCTAATTCCTCCCAAACAACGGGTTGCTCATTGACGAGTCGCTCAACTGCTTCTCGCGCAAATAATCAGAAACACCAGCAGACTGCCGTTTTACCGAACGTATTTGATATCGAACTGAGAAAGAGTTTGGAGGAAGACCTCCCGCCTTTGGCCAATGACGCTGCTCTCGAAGGCGCCTCTTGCGATTCACTGCCGACATTTGATTTGGGTCACGAAGAGGGTTTTGACAGAGACTCATCCCTTGATCGTAAGTGTCAACTGTAATCAGAGCTTAACCACTTGCTAATGGTTTGTAAAATAGCGCCATTTTCAGCGAGAGTAAATCGTGTCTCTGAGCCAAGCGATATAGGCCCCTCCCAAACTTCATCACCCGTTCGTCCCAGCGCCCGCGATCCGCCGCTCGTCGAGATTGACCCCATGGTAATCGTTCGACCGGACTCTGCAAATTTGATCGGCGATGCAAACCAATCGCCTGAAGTGGAAGTCGCGCAACAGAGAGAAGAGGCGTTTTCTCCCAGATATCCAAGCACGATTTACGACTGCGTTTCATCCGATACATCCACTTCTGTGCTTGAGCGCTTCACAGAAAGCTCGTCCTCTTCCCGATCAGTTTCTCTCGCAACTGAAGCCTCAGAAGAGGATTTCTTTCTGAATCTCGCTTCGAAAGATCACAACAAAGAAAGATACGATACACACCAGTATTCAGGAAAGGAAGCTATATACGATTTGGACAATTGCTATGCGACCGCTCCTCTCCGAAGCAGCTCTGAGTCTGTCACTCCAGTACGGGCGGAGAAAGCTGAGACGATGAAACTTGTGTCGCCGGCTAGGTCTAAATCATTGATGGCATGGACCCAGATTGAGTCTACAACAACAAGTTTGAAGAGGAGAAAAAAGAGACTCGAAAACGAGCAGACAAGCAAAAAACCATGTCAGAAAAGGAAATATCCTCCTGTTGCTGTTGTCATACCCCCGGTGCGATCAAGACGAACACGAAGTGCGCGATCGAAATTTCAGTCAGCCTCATCGGAGATGTCTCTTAGTAGAGAAAGTGAGAGGTCCGGCGACTCCACGGATAAGGGCTTTATAAGAAACAATCTCCAATCAGGGTTGTCTGTTGGAGAGAGCAATGAGGTCTTGGGCTGCCCGCGCCCTCGTACAAGCACAAACGCCTCGTACGAATTTCAGGGTTCTCGTGATGACTTACCGAATTGTCATAACACGAGTCGCGATATCATCGGGCGGGCCATTCTTACAATTGACTCAGAAGGACCGAAGCCTACATTCTTCTTGACAATAGTGCCCGACAACATTCCTTCGCCCAATCGCCTCTGTACACCTTGCAATCATGAAGTTGTGGCGCCGAGCAAGAACCGGAAGCAGTCAGTGACTAAATGTCGCGCCAGTCAGGCCAAGGGCAAAAATCGGCGTTACTCGCCCGATGAGAACTACCTGTTGGTGACATTGAAGGAAGAGAAGAGGCTGACATGGGACGAAATTACGGCACATTTTCCTGGCCGCAAAAAATCATCGTTGCAAGTACATTATTCTACCAAGCTTCAGAGCCGGCCTACTGGCCAACCTCGGCTGCGGACCAAGAAGCGTAAAAGAAAATGAACAAAGAAACATTACTGCTCCCGCACGAGAACAGAAGAAGACACCAGTCATGGTTATGATACGAGTGGGCTTTAAGTCTATCTTGAGTCTCTCAATCCCAAACGGGGACCTTCGCCGGACAAAGAAGATAAAATTTCAGCCACAAGACAAGCTTATTAGGAGCATTTAACTTTGAGAGACTGTGCTGTACCTATACCAATCAAAAGTGAACCCAATCTCCTCAGGCTCGCCTAAAGTAAGCGCCTCAAGAAGTCCACGTTTCTCCAGGTCTTGACAGAATTCCTTTTTGGACAGAAAATCCTTTTCCAGGCAGTTTTGATCTACAACATCATTGTGGTCGCCACAGACTCGCTTGGCGATTCTGGACTCGCCGCGGACACTCTGTAATAACGATCTCCACCACGTTCCTAGGCCATAAAATATCCCATGAAATAAGCGACCTATGACCATATACCATCGTTCGTTCAACATTGTTTTAACGAGGTTTGCCACTTCGCGACTTTCCTTTTTTCCGCTTCCGCTACTTTCCATCGCAACGGTTCTTTCGTTCAAAAGTGTTTTCGTGTGCGCAGCTAGGTCTGAAATTTTGACATATTTGTTATGCCAACATCTGATGATGATGTTATCAATCAAGGGATTTCCATCCAAATTCGGAAATTCCATGTTCTGTAGCAAGTCCACGACCTTAGGACCATGTTCGTAAGGATCTTCGGCAAGACAGCGATCGCCATAAATCTCAAAGCCATAGTTAATCAGATAATATAAGGAACCAAGGGCGAATTGTTCTGTTCGAGGGCCCAGGAAGCCGAATGTTCCACATTCTCCTTGATCTGATTCCCTGTGGTTGAGTATTCTGCCATATGGAGCCATGCAAGCTTCGTAATTTGTTCCAATCCTCGCCGTACAATCAAAGTCGGATAGTTTCAGTCGGTTGCGGTCAAGTAGAACATTTTCCGGTCGTAAATCACCATGAGCCAGATTGAGGGATTCCAAGAAAGCGACGGCTTGAGCGAGATCGTTCATCCATTCTAAACGTAGGGATAGAGGTTCTAATCTTTCCACGGTAGTAACCACCATAGTTTGCTGGTCTCGGATATGATTGTTTTGAATCCTAGAAGAAAGTGACTGATCTAGAGACAAAGTAAAAGGCAAGCACTTTCAAGCATTTAATTTTCAATAGGGGTCGCACCTCTCATGTACTCGAGGAAAATGCCACTGTCGGAAAAGAGAAAGCACTGCACAATAGAGTGGCAAGGTGGATTTTGCGAGAATACTTGATATATCTCGAGCTCTTTATGGAATTGTTGCCTCTCGAATTCCCCGGACTTCGGGACTTTGACCACAATGCGAGGGTGGACCTCGTAAACGAAGGAGATGCCTCCACCCCAGATCCAGTGGACACTGGGATATTGGCGTTGGATATCCATGATTGAGGAATATTATGTGAGAAGGAGAAGAAGGGATAGAGGTAACGTGTTTGTACTTATAGACGGAAGGGGTGAATGGAAGAGAGAAGTGAAGCGATGGGGCGCAGTGACATAATCAGTTATGATTGGCTAACTCGCGCTTAGTCACCCCTTTTTAACCTTTCGTTTCAGGCTAGAACACTGGCTTAAAGTGACCAAGTTTACCAGGAGACTTCTTTCCCAACACTGAAGATTGATTATACGAATAGATGAAACATGTAGGTGTTGCATTCCAAGCCAAATCCAGAGGATTCGGATTCACTAAAAGATAGTTTCATAGCGAGTGCAAGGAGATACAGATAAGAACCACGAAATTGCGAGACTCCTCCTGTGAAGATCGCAAATCCCAATTATCCACTAGGCCCTCTTCCAAACGCCATTGCTCTTGACATAAGTACCATTGGCGATACAGTCATCGCACGGGTCCCTTTTGGTCGTCTTGCCGAGGTGCTCTGTTTTCTGGATGATGCCGCAATTGTTGCAGCCGTTGAGTTCTCTGATCCTGCCGGGAGAATCAGCTCTATGCCTGCACAGATACTCGATTGTCTCAACGAGCTTCTGACACATGATGTCTCTATATTTCATCCATATTACATATTAGCTATATTAGCTAAAGCAATTTCTCTGGCGATAATCATTGATACCCACTTGAAGATATAATGAAAAATCGGGTTTGCGCTAAATGTCGATCGTTGGACTAAAAGGGCACCAGGGAGTCTGATTATCGTTGAGTGCTGGTTCAGAAGTTTGGTGGAGATGGAAGGAAAGGATCGATCTGGGTTTTGACTTAGGCATATATATAGACTTTCCAGGGGGCTTGAGCGCTCACAATATTTCCAAGTCGAATATTCGCGTTGATTAGTGACCGAGTATGAACAGTCTGCCTGCTAGCAACTTTTCTCCAACTATTCCATGAGCAGCAATATCACTCGTAAAGCTGTACGGCGAACTGTTAACGCCTGGCCCACAGTGGGCCAGGAGCCTCGCCGATCTTAGGTCTAGCACTAAGCGCTGTCATTGATGGTGGGGCCGAGGTTTGATCTAAGAGGGCCTACCACCTTCAATCTGGTATGTCGACGGAGCCTGAGCGGTTTCCACGATGGCCAAGCTATTTGTTGGAAGGTCACGTGACCACCACTGTTTGCTCCCAGTACTTAGTCTCAGTCATAGCATGTAGATAGTTTCTCTCTCTCTCAACGCATCAAGAGATTTCCAGTTACATCTACATTCATCGTAGATCTCTAGTATCTCTAACAAGCTTGCTCACGAGCCCACTCGGCCAGGCGACGTAGGGCTTGATCGGCGGCTTGAGTGAGCAGGAACGGACCATCCGCTCCCCGCCGGCTGAATGGGGAGATGTAGTTTCCAATCTGCGAATGCCAGGCGCACGGATTAGTCCATGCCTTTTCTCAAGCTCGAAGACCGGTATCATACCATAGAGGCGGTTACTATTGGGTTCCACAATGTTCACACCTACCCGTCTTGCCCAAAGGATCGCGCGGGGCCACGGGTTATTAATCACGTGGCCGTCACCGCCCCCGAGTGTCATTGGTCCAAGGTTACGATGATGATTCGGCTTGAGTGAAATCGTGCACTACTGTACGTAAAGATGCAGAGTGGCAGATTGCACAAATGAATTTCTTAACTAGCGGCCATTACAAAAAACTCGGCGGAAGTCATCTTCGGACATGTCTCCGTTGAAAAACTTGCTTCCATTCGTCACGGAGCCACCGTCCATCCGATGAATGCGAACACCAGGTGCATTTTGTCCATTGGCAACACTACCATTGTATACCCAAGAAGTTCCGTCCACCTGAGTGTCAGACGCGGAGTGAATTGAGATATGTCCAAGGATCATTGCTAAGATTTCCGTTGGTAGAGAGAAGAAGTAGCATATAGACATAATGGTCGTGGTCAACATATCATCAGGGTCGATTCTAAATTGAAGGATTGTCTTTTGAACCAAACCAAACCACTCCCCAATGATTTTAGGATCTTCGCATTTCGCACGCTTGTAGTTGTATCGTTTCGAGAATCGGGAGGATAGGAGAGGATGCCGTTTCACGAAGTTAAATACCCATTTCTCGCCGACCGAAAGAACCGGGGTAGTTCCACGCTTTTGAAGAAGAAGATCTGCCATTTCTTGTACTATAGAGGGCCCGGGGGCTGATCCACGAGAATCCATAGAGAGGATCTATTTCTGAAGAGATACCTCTTCAGTATCGGTCAATTTATGAGAGTTGGCGCGAGAAATCGCGCGGTGTTGTATACCATTCAGGCGGGTAGAAAGGGTGGATCTTGGGACGTTAAAACGGCGCGCCACTTCACGAATTGAAGAGATTTCTTGATTTTTAAAAGCCTGGATAGCTAATAAAATCCTACCCTCTTGCTCTGCTGAATTGCTAGAGGATCGGGATCGAATTGGTGGCATAGTGGGTGGTTGAACTAACCAAGTGCTAATCTATGGACGCGTTTTGGGTTGGGTGGCCCACTGGCTTACCGAATACGTTACGTTATGGCAACTGATTATGTGATCTATGGATCCATGGCACCTGCCTAAGCACGTGCTCATGGCGATGCTGACTGATTGACTAGGCAGTGAGAGCTCGTGCCAAGTCACACCGCCTTCGCCCTCGTAGATGCCCCAGTATTATCAGCTTGGACAAGGTAGGCTCCGTTTAACATCTCTTTGGGATTTCCATGAACCTCCTTTTGAGAAACAGAAACCCAACCTCAATTCTCCACATTAAAAGGATCACTACCATGCAACCCGGTAAGATCACGGCCGGTCTACTCCCAATTTCGGCAGGAGCTATGCAAAAGTCAGGCTCTGGGGCGCCCGCAAGAAAAACACCTAAACCTCCCGCACCACGTCTCAAACTTCTCATTCGGCGTTTACCGCCTGGCTTAACACGAGCTGAGCTGGAGAATTCCCTTGGAGACCAGTGGAAGGCCGGGGCAGGAAACGTCGACTGGCTTCAATTCAAACCTGGCAAGGTGTCAAAAGAGTACGATTCACCATCCTCCGACGCAAGGTCCTATCGATTCCGACTAACCAGACTTCTTCAAATAGCCCCAACAAATCGTCTCGCCCGTCAAGAGCATATGTTCACGTTGTTTCCACTGAATGTGTCTCTTCGCTCTCGGATGCCGTGCGCCAAGCTTCTTTCCAGGATGCTCGCAACACTCTACATGATCCCATTCTACTTGGACCTCCGTCGCTGGAATTTGCACCCTATGCTAAGACCCCCGGAAGCCGCTCACGCAAGGATGCTCGTCAAGGCACGATTGATCAAGATTCAGAATTCATCGCTTTCTTGGAAAGTCTGACCCAGCCCATTACTAGACCCGCGGCTGTGGATTCCACGGCAGATTGCGAGGACAAGAAGAAGGAAACTATAGTGACTACCCCGCTAGTACAGTTTATCAAAGACAAAAAAGCCAGTAAGTTAAAGGACGGCAGTGGGTCCAAATCTAAACACAGTCGGTCGGACAAGGAATCAAAGCAGGAGAAAGTTCAAGCGAAAAAGCTTTTGCAACGAGGCGATAAGGAAAACTCGGCAAACCCTTCCGACAAAAGACCTAAAGGAGAAAAGTCAACCAAGGACTCAGGCAAGGCAACCAAGCAAGGAACCGCTGCCAATGCCAAGGGAAACAAGTCGAATGCCACACCAAATACTACAAAGGAGACAGCGGCAGCTCCAGAGCGGAGGAGAGAGCGCGGAAATGTCATAGTAGCCACCAAGATCCTTCAGCGTGATCTTGGACTGTCGACATCTGGTGGACGGCGACGCGGCAAAGGTGGTTCGACTGATTCTGCCTCACCTAAGAATGAGAGCTCTCGAGACTCAGCTATCCTACCAACCGATCTTTTCAAGAAGGAGATAACCAGGCCTCCCAAAGCCGCATCATCCGCAGCCAATTTTCCAAAGCCCAGGAACGGCGAGTTATCCTCGCGGCCCGATGCGGCAGCTGCGCCGCCTGTAACCTTACCGGTGAAGGTCATTAAGGGCGGCAAAGCAAAGCACCCACCAACCGCTAAACAAGCATTTCTCAAGCATGCCAACCCATCCCAGGGTGTTACCGAAGCGCTCCTGCAGTCCGCATTCACCCTATTCGGGGCAGTGACGAAGGTCGAGATTGACAAGAAGAAGGGTTTCGGATACATAGATTTTGCTGAACCGGAAGCCCTTCGCAAAGCTATCGCTGCAAGTCCCGTGTCGGTGGCACAGAGTCAAGTGGTGGTCTTGGAGCGCAAAGAGAATCCCGGAATTGAAAAAACTCGGAAAGGTCGCGAGAGTTTCACACCCAATACGGCCAAGGCTCCTACCGAAACTGCTGGAAGCACTTCAGGAACAGGCATTAATGTTGGAAGTAATGCTAGCTCCTTCCGCGGATCTCGTGGAGGGCGTGGATCACGAAACAAGGGACCCAAGGGGAGCGCTGGAGCTTCAGAGAAGACAGGAGGCACCGAGGCAGAGTGAGACCGGGCCGAGATATCTAGTTCTTTAGCAGTTCATGAGACATGATACCCGAAGGCATGACAAGTTTTACTGACAACTGTGTGATGGCCACGGCAAAGGATTTGATGAACCATGACATAATCAAGAACAAGGCATATCAACCAGTTTTTCAGGATGTGGGTAGCAGAGTCAAGATAGCGAAGCCAGGGTAGAAGCACAAGATTCAAGGCTCTGCCAATCAAGGACGTGATCTGGACCGCTGGATGAAAACAAGGCTCCGGCTCACACCACCTACCAACATGCTACGTTACGATGGAAACGTCATGGGACTAAAGCTGGATAGACACCAAGTAGAATTTTTTCGCTATTTGCACCACTGCCTTGGAGTTCGTCATTTTTCTCCACTAAGATGGAAGAGGACCTTTCAGACCTCCTCGACACCCACCAGGACCAACCGACCGAAGTCAGACGTCGAATCCAGGTCAAGATCATCACCACTCCCTGGACCGAAACACAGATACTGCGAACAGGACGCGTATCAGTCGATGCGGGAGTCAAAGGTTTCACTTTAGGGCATCGAGGACATATAGTCATCAGCAAGGGTGGAGATTCTGTAGCTCTTTTAAAGAGTTTAGAAAGGGGACGTCTACTCTAAAGTGATTCTTTGAACTGCGGGAATGGTCAGCGTAATTCTCAGGTACAGCGAGAGATAATTTTCAACTGTTGAGAATAGGAAAGGGGGGGGGGGTAGGAACATACGTAGAGTCGCTTGAAAATCGAAAGAAGTTCCGGGTGCCTAGGCCGATTTATACCACTGCTGATCACGCTAGCGCTAAGCGAGAGCGTCATGTGTTTGCCTGGTTTGCGTAGTTGGTTTCGTTTGGCCTTTTCCTGGTGGATCGCCTTTTGAAAGTTGATCCAATAATCTGCCACCATTTCTTGGGGCGGATCCACCTTACGGAGTAAAAATTTTCAACTTCGGTCTTCTGCTACTCCGTGGTCTATAACCAACCCTTGTCAATGGTTGATTACAACATACTCTCAAAGTTATTATTTCCATGATTATGTGTCACCCACAAACTTTGGGACTAGAGCGGAACCGAGCTCACCTTCGACATGCTGGCTTTTTTTTGGTTCTGTTCACCGACTCATTGGGTACTATCTACTAGGTACATAATGTGACTCTATGTTGTACATACAACATAGAACGAGGGACAAGAGAGCAATCTTTCTGCTGGACGGATAATGGGGCGTATAGAGACCGCTTTTGCGGCTCACCGCCTTCATCCTGGGAAAGGGGACCTGACCCCACTCGACTTTAGTGGAGTTTTACAAAATAATCATCGCCGTGCAAGTCATCAATTCCATCGGATCGTTTTATCAATTTTCATCTATGTTGTACAACATAGTTTTATTGTATCTGAGGGACTGTTGTGTCTCTCTGTAGCATCAGGCCCCCTATGAAAATATCGAGAAATTTTCTATCGGAGGGATCGCCCCACGGGGGTGTGGGACCGATTTTGGTCTGTCACACAACTACCATATATGCGTTCTTTTCTGAACCACATCGTTTACTCAAAATCTTTGTTGAGACCAAATTTATCGTTCCAAGTCTCATAACTACTGTAGCTATACTTGGGCAACGTTTTTTTGGGGGTACATGTGTGAAATTTTGTGGTGCAAGTCTCCAGAAGGCGCCCGTTAGTTCCAGAGAAATGGCCTACTTTTACATAATTTGTGGTACTTTACTGAGTAGTCTCATACGCATTTCACAAGTAGCATTCCACATGTGAAAGTAATCCTAAAAAAACTTCCTGTCGAAGTGTCTCTTCCGAAATACCCGTAATTGTCGGGCCGCGTATGCTTGTCGCTTGTCCACTAATCTGTCATCACCGCTGACATGCGGGGATCCCAAGACCTGTCGAGTTGTAGACTCTTCAAGCATGCCACGCCCCAAGGTCCATCCAGCGAGTCGGCTACGAGTGAACACCGCATGCACTACCTGCCGTGCATCCAATAAGCGCTGTAGTGGTTATTTCCCATGTACTAATTGACTGTATTCACAAAGGGCGTGGCCGCTCATGCACCCCATTCAAGTCCTTGCTAATTGCAGGCCGCCGAAGCCGCCCCGTTCCTGCTTCTAAACCTACAGTCGAGTCGCAAAATCCCTTAGGGTTACAATCTAGCGATATTGGTGCGCCCTATCTCGAGCTCGACAAGCTGGAGGCGGGATCGCGCTCGCCTGTTTGCATCAGACGCATCCGCGCATGCTCCGCAATCTGCAAGGGAAAAGTGGTATGGAATGGAATTTTGCGAGTGGCATGCGCATTGTTTAGTTGAGACTGTACTTCGGGAAAGCTGCCGCTCTATTATTTCTCCAATTGCTTCGGGATACAGTGACCCAACATATCGTGCCTTCACAGTTTTCTCACAAAAGGGGTAGTAAAGATATGCTAGAAGCAGAAGCTTGTGGCAATCTTTTGGATTTCTCCAAAGAGTGTTGCACTGTTGATTAGAAGGTCCAATTCATCCAGAATTATCACGCAGCGGTAGGACGAACGCCAATCATGAACTGTGGATATTTCACAAGACAAGCGGCTTTCTCAATCTGAGCTCTAGTGACGAAATTTCATCTGCCTTGACTAGCCCAGCAGAGCCCAAAACGGACCGGGAAGAGACTAGTGCGGCCATCATAGACCTTATGATTGCTATCGGAGCACAATCCTACCCGAATGACCGAACAAATCTCCAAGTGGAGCGTTTCTACTTTGCTCGCGGTCAACGAAAAACGTTTGCCAACGTGCTGGAAGATCCTAGCGTGGATTTAGTCTGAGGTTTTCTACTCATGTCCTTCTACATGCTGGCGGCGTGCCGTCGAAACACGGCATTCATGTACCTGGGAGTGGCATCACGAGCAGCCGTGGCGCTTGGGTTCCATGCAGACTTCTCGTTGTCAGTAGGCCCCGATGATAGTGCTAAGAGCAATGAACGGTAAAGAGTTTTCGCAGGATTCACTTAGCCCAGCTAATCCCCAACAGATCACGATTATGGGTGAGCTCATGCATTTTCGATTTGTTGATCAGTTCGATCCTCGGAAGACCTTCTGCCATTTAATCTTCATTGCCCAAAAATCGACAAGCACATAGCTGGTTTGTGGCCGCGCCGGCTGATCTTGGTCTGGTGGCTTCACATCAGGTATCGTTGATCCTGGACGAAATAATCAAGTGTTTCTACAATGAAAAGGCCGCATCAGCACAGCAGGCAGACCTCATACAATGCAAATCAAACGGCTGGTGTGAACATCTGCCATCATCGTTAAGGATGTCATCTTTAGGACGCAAAGACCAGAGCAGTTTCCGAGAGCGTACAATTGGAAACATGCACGTTGCATGTTCATATCATTTTGCAGTGATCTTAGTCACACGACCTTTCCTCATCTCGGTCCTGAGTGTTCAGCTGGCCCGGTGACACCAGAGCCTCTCGGCCGGTGATTCTAGTGAGGTGCTAACGGAGAACCCAGCCCACTCGCAGCTCGCAGCAGCCTGTGTTGATTCTGCCATATACATGCTGCAAACATGCCTGGAGGTTCATCAGTCCAGCCTTCTTCTTCGGAACATGTGTAAACTCAAGTATGTCTGCGCGAATACCCATCTACTGACTTCATTACTAAAATCTATCAAACAGAGCGTTTTTCTTTGCCGCAGCCTTGGTGCTCGGGTTCTCTATGTTCTCTTGCCGCGACATTGACTCTGAGATTGATGATGTATTCCGCGGTGCTCTGACCATCTTGCACGTGATGGCGTCGCAGTCTGCCCAGGCAGTTCATTATCTGAATATAGTAACGAAGCTAGAGGCTGCTATAGGCAAACAGCGCCACCAACTCGCTGCCCAAGCCCGACAGCGACGGGGTCAATACGTCAATCGGATCTTTAACTTGAACGAGAGCTCGCCAATACCGCGGACACAAAATTGGGGGGGTGTGGAAGAAGAAACGAGAAATGAGAACCCACTACTATCGCAGACTGTCACATCTTGCGCCATGCTACATTCGGACGATGGCACAGCTCCTCCTGCCTCACCCCCTATGATTGGTGGGACTTTGTTTGATCGGGATGGTATGGATTTGCCATAATGGGATAGTTTCCCATTTCTCGCTGAGTCAAGTACGATTTGATGAAATGATAGTTTATTAGTGACGAACTACCTGTGCAACTTTGGAACCTATAATGCTTGGTAGGACTATACGCGTATCTGGGCTTGCAAAGTGAAGAACTGCAAGATTTAGGCTCACTGTTTTTTCAAATAGACGACTTAACAGTTGGAATCAAGAAGCCGGGGGGATAAATGTTTGAAGTGTCCCAGTAAAGCTGGTAAATATCATCGACAGCTGTGCCCTTCAGACGGAAGGAATCGCACAAGAGTCCATTCTCATTTTGCCACATGAGATATCTGCCGTAAAAAAGAAATCGATCTACCTTCGCATCATCCGGTGTATCGACGTCGTTTCCTGTGAATCCCACAGGTAGCACCTTGTTGGGTGTGGGACGGATGTAGAAGAACGTGTCAGCATCGAAGGTGCAATCCTTGCTAGTAGCTGTGGCGATAATTTGGGAATTTTTGAAAACGACTAATAGGGGATTAGCAGATTTCTTGGGTTTTTTTAAAAAAAACACAAGTGCAACAGAGATAAATAAGCGATAAATCCTACACATAACGTCGGATGTCACCGATCCAGACACCCACTGAGACGAATCGCCGACATATGCAAGTCCTAGGTATCAGATCAGATGGGAATCAGTCTCATGTGGAAAAAATGTAATAACCGTCAGAAAAAAAAACTTTGACTCCCGCAGGGGCGACACCATAGGCAAGAATGGAGAAGGATCCTGTTGGATAGCGCTTTTGCAGCGCCGACTCAGAGAGTGCAGCCATAGTTTGCGAGGCCAAAGCCATGCCATTCAGTAGGATTTTCAATCTCATATTCTGTAAAATGGGAGAGAATTCTAGAGAGAGAGTTGTTTGGATATTAGCGCTAGGCGTGTCGTTGGGTAGTTAAGTTTTATCCCATTGTCAGACACCAAATCTGTCTGGGGTAACGCAGTCAGACACTGCAGTTGAAGGCTGACATTTAGGTTAACCTTCTATGTAATTATAACGTAATTTTTTTGGCTTACCACTCGATTTAATTTGAATGTGATCAGAATAAAATCATACGCAAACCAGTGACAACAGCCGCTCGATAGGGTGATGGAAAACTATAGTGACTGTAGACGTAGGTTCTGAGGCTTACGGATCTTAGCCTTGCACCTGAAAACTGTATCCTCTTACACTTTAATTACTCATGGGTCCGATTTTGGGGGTTAAACTTATCTCTCTTTAGAAAAATATATAAACATAGTCTTACCCTATACTTTAAGATCAGAAAGATCAAGTGCCTCTATACGGTCGTGTAAGGAATCTTATCCTTTTCGTAATTTAAGGATTAGAGTTAGTCTAGTACGTAACGACCGATGATAATAATAAGGATAAATCGATAGGCCTTATATAAATAGACCTAGGTATAGAAGAGAAGATAATAGGTATAAGCTAATAACAAAATCGATACCATAAGATAAGACCTTAGCTATAGTCGATAAGTATACTAATCAGCTATTTAGAAAAACTTTACTATTAACCAAATCTAAGGTAGGTGGGGAGGGGATATAGGAAGAGAGAGAGAGAGAGGTTAAAGTAGGGGGGGTAGAAGGTAGAAGGTAGAGGGTAAACTCTATGACGATGGTTTCTTACATAGATTAACGGGCTATATACTGTTGGGATTTATAGACTATAGGAATAGGCTAACTTCATTGAACGTCCCTTATATTGTTGCACCACAGATTTCTGTCACCTTACAACGTCACCATAGCCTTCGGTCTCCGACAGCGGTTATCTATGGTTTTTGTCTCCATCTTACACTGCGGCCAAGTTGCATTCAGAGTCATTCTCTCGCATCTCTTAATATAGCTATTCGTATCATTTAATTCAACATGAACTTATCCCCTCTAAGCTCAATGAAAAATCGGAGCAAATCCTACATTACAATCAATTTTCGTACTCAGTTTATATTCACAAGCAGTTCAACATTCTAAAAGCCAATTCCACCATTCGTTTTGGCTAACTGGAACAATCTTATAGCGGCTCAACTCCCAAATTCTCACTATGAAGTTCGCTGTTGCAATAATCAGTGCTACGCTTCTTTCCAGATCTATCATCGCCTCTCCACTCACTCATCGCCGACAGGTAGAAAGTGAAATGCATCGATATACCCAAGCTCCGCGCCGCACAACCCGGCCTCATAGTCCAGGCACCTCGGAAGTATTCTATCTGAATCAAACGGCTCAGGAGACTTACAGCTCAAACTGGGCTGGGGCTGTGCTTATTGGTGCAGGATACACTTCAGTATCCGGAGAGATGGTTGTTCCTATACCCCGACTCCCGAATGATGCAAATTCTTATACGAATTACTGCGCCTCCGCATGGGTTGGCATTGACGGTGATACTTGCAGTAGGGCCATTCTACAAACAGGAATCGATTTCTGTATTCAAGGAGGCTCTACATCATATAGCGCGTGGTACGAATGGTATCCAGACTTTTCCCATGACTTTAGCAATATCCAAATCTCGGCTGGGAATGTGATCAGAATGATAGTCAATGCAACTTCGAAAAGTTCTGGCTCTGCTACTATTGAGAATCTATCGACTGGCGCATCTATCACGCATGCATTCCGTAAAGGCCTTGGGGGTGACCTATGTGAGTTCAATGCCGAATGGATTGTGGAGGACTTTTCTGTAAACAATGCATTGGCTCCTTTTGCCAACTTTGGCAACGTGGTATTCTCCAATGCAGTTGCCTCGCGCAATGGGAACACTTACGGACCATCGGGCGCAATTATAATGGACATCTATCAAGATCGGATTTTCACGTCTTCTTCTGTCACTGAAAACACTGTCACTGTCAGTTACATTTAGCTCTTTAGCTCTTACAAAGGCCAAGTTCAAATTCTCCAAACCTATCTCTAGAATATCCTGGTGCAACGTTCGTTCAGATAGTCAGAGCTGAGATGACATATTTGAACAGATATTTAGTGTCACTGCATTGTTTCAGGTGCTTATACTTTTGATTGGATACCACAAGAGGTTAAGCATAGAATTTCCGTCTCGCTTCGAGTGAAAGATTTTCATCTTGCTTTCGTATCTCTAATTACACAATTGAAAGACACTAAGGGGGTGACCTGCTTCTTTCTTGTCAACACACCGAGAGGCATAACTACTCTAGTAACTTATAGTGGTAGAGAGACAAGGAAGATTACTTGATGGAGATGTATTACAGTTTCTACTATGAAGTGTAGATGTAACTGGAAAATCTCTGTTGTGCGTGAAGAGAGAGAGAAACTATCGACAAGATGGGAAACTAAGTACTAGGAGCATGTGGTAGCATGTGAATATTCACATGCTTCCAACAATACTATAAACTGACAATAAAAATCCTGGGCACTTGTACCTGGTAGAATAATTGCCCAACAGCCCTTAGCCTGCTAGCAAATAAGCGTCTATAGGATGGCGCAGGAACTACATCCTTCTTCATGCCGACAGAATTAAAGTAGGATTTCTGCAACAACTTCAACACCAAAAATCTAAACTAAGCTTTCTTGGACATTAGATTGCTCTCATCTTCTCAAATGATCCTAGTCATTACTAAAGCAATGGGATGTCCGTTTAGAAGTCACAGAAAGTAAAATGTGGACACGCAATGCAAAGCCATTACTTAAAGTCATTATTGGGGTGGTTGAGTTGTTGGTCTCCAGGGTTAGTTGTTGAAAAGGTCAGAACTCTATTAGAAAATTGTTTGAAATTCTGCAACTAGAGTAGAAATTTCATATCCTGTTCTCATAAGTCTGTTCAGACAATTGAGTTAACGTTCCGAGGATCATCTAGCATTTTGAGATCGATAATGGTTGAGGAGGCTCGAGGATAGTGAGACTATTATCTTCCATAATCGACAACTACATCTACCACTTCGAGAATCTCTGGCTCGATGTCCTCGACCACATTCTTGGTTCCTTTACCGGTGATATTGTTGACGATCCCATTAGGGGGAGTTCTTCCAGGGCAGCAAGTCGAGATAACTCTTCTAGCAAGGCACCTCGTTTACCAACATCGCTAGAGTTTCCCCAATAGCGCTCTTTCTTAGTATCTCTGGTGGAAGATTTTAAATAATCGGATGATCAGTGCGCTATGGCGGAACAATCCCCAGAGGAAACTCCAAGTCTACGGTCAATAATCTGATCATACCGGCTTCCTGGGCGGTGGGGGAGGGGGGGGGGGGGGGAAGAACATGAATGTCTTGATACAGAAAGTAACTTCCAGCCATTGCATATCGCTTGTGTGGCTGTCTCCTTTAACGGCGAAAAATCCGGTTCAATGCATCCGGGTCAATCACAGTGATTCCGTAGTCGAAGGTCATGGGAACTATCGCAATACCGCCCCGTTTGAAAACCGCGAACACCGCTCTGGCATCATTTTCTATGCTTGACACTTGATAGAATGACGTGCTAATTGATTAAAGGAGTCGATTTGTACTAGTGGACAATTGAGCATGAGGGCTTAATTCTAGTGATGATAAGTGGAGCTTAATACTAGGCATCTGATTGAATCTCGGTTTTAAATTTGTGTTGCACCGGAGGAACCACAAAATTCGTGACACAAGGTTGCTATCTCTCAGGAACTAATGTGAGAAATAGTGGGGAAAACTTGTGATGGTCTCATTCTCGGTGAATAAAACATCAAACTTTTCGTGGGCGAGTGCCCTCACATGCTGCTCCTTCGTTTCAAGTATCAAAAATCCGAATAGTTAGCTCACCCAATGCTTACGGACTTTAGGTCCATGTTGAGATATGTATGATAGTAGATGATATCATAAAGGCACAATGATGCATTGTGGTATTGTTGTACAGAGAGTATAGAAAAAAGAGAGAAAATACTACACATGTGATGCTATGGAGTATATGACATAACACTTGGTCTACGCTAAAACCCGAGAATTGGCAAGAGGTTCTTATCCGTAACCCGAACCCGTATATATAACCCGCGCGGGTTCCTGTGATCACGGACGTGATCTCCGACCTGTTTATCTGAACTTCAGTTCTAGATTCTGTTGTAGCTCAAGGCTGACGGGTATATCTCGCAGTGGCTCTGATATGGATACCATCGTAACAGGGGCCATGGTTTCGTCCATGCGGCTACCATCATCAAAGTCCGCAAAGAATGACCTAAAGATATCGCGCTTTACTGCAAAGGAGCTCATCCCTACGCCAGCCGGTTGGTTTGTTGCATCTATGTAATGCATGAAAAGATATTTCTGGTCGTGGAAGAATGTATCCGCGGTTGGCATACCGCAGCGCCGCTCCACACTCCACGTCTCGATCATTTCGCATGTCTGCGGAGTTATGATATTACTGAGTTTGCGTGCGGTGATTGTGCTCAGGAGAGAGATTATCTGACCACTAGTCTCAGAAAACTTAGCTTGGTCGCAAGAGAACAGCTCAGGGGGTCGTAGGCGGGTGATTAATTGATGTATGGCAGCACATTCGAGTGTGTACCCCGAAGGAAAAGGACCTTGATTGCGGTCCTTCGGCCAATTCGAACCAGGTAGAACAAAGCCAATGGCTCTTGCACATGACTTGAACCTTCTCCATAGCTCTGACGTTTCGAATTTCGATCTGTGAGAGCTGAGGGCAAGTGGCCGAACGTTGGTAAGACCAAAAAAATGCCGCATTGCAAAGAGAAACAACTGTCTGTAGGCCATCCAAAACCCGTACTCCTTCGAGCCTTGTTCCTGGTCAAAGTCATTCTCAGACCGTTGGATCTGATGCTGTGTCCCAGTAGGTTCTTGGTAATATTTAAGCATTGTCTCCCGCATGGTGCCCTTAAACTTCAAGGGAAGAATCTTCTTCATCACATCAGTCATTGCTCTGAGATGATTAGTATTTTCAAGAAAGATCCGGAGAGATGGTATAACTTTATTGTAAGACAAGGCTGCATGCTGAAGTTGGGAGCGACGATCAGAGCTGGTAACCTCCGGAAACGCCCTTCCATCCAGGAATATTTGTTGGATATGCCACTGATCTGTAGTCGAAAGACTGGGACACCGTCCCTCCAATAGTGAAAGAGTTTTAGGATCTAAAATATCCGGTGTTTGACAGGTTAAAGATTGCCAGGCGTGGTATATCTCAGATATTGAGTATGCCAGCTCCTATAGTTGTTGCATTAGAACGCATGGCCATTCTTCTATACGTGAACATTAAGAGTCAATACTTACTTCGGGGCATCGTAGGCTTGGAAGATGAATGCCCATAAACCAAGCTTTCCAAAGGGCCCCGTATGGAAGTAGAAGGTCCAGCTTTTCTCCCATTGCGGCAAAAGCTTCTTTGCTGGCTTTAGGATCGTAGATTCGGTTAAATTCACGGCACTTCGTAGGAGACCATCTCGCTAGCCATTCCCCGGCAGCTTCTTTCTCTCCTCGGAGCTGATAGTGCCTGAAATTCCGAAATATTTCCCCATCGCCAAAGTCTTCAGACCGTTGACCATATTCACGCAGTCTTTTCCGACCTGCATCATCCAATTTCGCAGAATCATAAATCTCAAAATTCCACCAAAGATCATTTGGGTTTAGCCACTCAAGCGCAGCAGCGATACGGTGTTGACCTTGGAAACAGTAAAGGTTCAATCCGTCTGGAAGCTGTAGGTCTCGACATATGTACCTAAGTGCTGGCAGTTGAAATTGTTGGAAGGTCACGTGACCACCACTGTTTGCTCCCAATACTTAGTCTCAGTCATAGCATGTAGATAGTTTCTCTCTCTCCCAACGCATCAAGAGATTTCCAGTTACATCTACATTCATCGTAGATCTCTAGTATCTCTAACAATTTTCATGCGGCAAAATAAAGGCTTTCATTGGTTGGCGTGCTTCTTTATTATGGAAAGACTTGCTGCGCAACACCTACGCACGCCTGCGCAACAGTAGATACCCCAGTTCATTGAAGTTATAAATTGGTTTCAACTCGCAGTTCCTATAAAAATACTAAAGCCATAATCATGACGGGCGTTTGGCGGACCGAAGAGAAGGCAGCTGTGCTTCTTGTTTTTGCAATGTGGGGCTTCAAGCATGATGATGATGATGATGATGATG